TGCACTCTTAGCCGCGCAAAGACTTAATGGCGAAAATTACAAACAATGGAAGTCAAACCTAAACACTATTCTCGTGATAGATGATCTTAGGTTCGTCTTGCAAGAGGATTGTCCTCAAGCTCCTGCGCCTAACGTTATTGTGGCGGTGCGCAACGCCTATGATAGGTGGATCAAGGCCAATGACAAGGCCAAGGTCTACATCTTGGCGAGCATATCTGATGTGCTTGCCAATAAGCACGAGGACACGGTCACCGCTAAGGAGATCATGGACTTGCTGCAGAGCATGTCTGGACAACCGTCCTCACAGGCTCGACATGAAGCCCTTAAATTCGTTTACAACTCCCGCATGAAGGAGGGTTCATCAGTGCGAGAACACGTTCTCAACCTGATGGTCCACTTCAACGTGGCTGAGTCGAACGGGGCCGTCATAGATTAGCAGAGTCAGGTCAGCTTCATTCTGGAATCTCTTCCGAAGAGTTTCCTGCCATTCCGCAGCAATGCGGTTATGAATATGCTGGAGTACACTCTTACCACGCTCCTTAACGAGCTGCAGACCTACCAGTCTCTTATGAAATGTAAGGGATAAGAAGGGGACGCAAATGTTGCCACCTCAAAGAGGTACAACAGAGGATTGTCCTCTAGAACTAGGTCTGCGCCCTCTTCTTCTGGAAGTAAGACTTTTAAGAAGAAGAAGGCTGTTGCTAAGGGGTCTAAACCTGACTCAGCTGCTGCTGCCCAGAAAAGCAAGGTCAAGGTTGCAGAGAAAGAAAGTGTTTCCACTGCAACATGGACGGGCATTGGAAGCGCAACTGCCCAAAGTACTTGGCCGAAAAGAAGAAAGCCAACGAAGGTAAATATGATTTACTTGTATTGGAAACATGTTTAGTGGAGAATGATGACTCCGCCTGGATACTGGATTCAGGAGCCACTAATCACGTTTGTTCTTCATTGCAGGGAATTAGTTCCTGGAGGCAGCTTGACGCCGAAGAGATGACTCTTAAGGTCGGAACGGGAGAGGTCGTCTCAGCTGTGGCGGTAGGGGAGCTCAAGTTGTTTACAAACAAGAATATGTATATATTATTAGATAATGTGTACGTTGTTCCTAAAATTCAAAGGAACTTAATTTCAATTTCTTGTTTGTTGGAACAGATGTATTCAATTTCATTTCATTTAAATGAAGCGTTCATTTCAAGAAATGGTGTTAATATTTGTTCAGCTTTACTTGAAAACAACTTGTATGTGCTAAGACCAACCATAACGAAAGCAATTTTAAATACCGAGTTGTTTAAAAATGCTAGAACTCAAAATAAAAGGCAAAAAGTTTCTCAAAAGGAAGATACCTATCTTTGGCACTTAAGATTAGGTCACATTAATCTCAATAGGATTGAGAGGTTGGTTAAGAATGGCATTCTAAGTGAGTTAGAAGACGATTCTTTACCACCATGTGAGTCTTGTCTTGAAGGCAAGATGACTAAAAGACCTTTTACTGGAAAAGGTTATAGAGCCAAAGAGCCCTTAGACCTTATACATTCAGACCTTTGTGGTCCGATGAATGTTAGAGCTCGAGGAGGGTATGAATACTTCATCTCTTTTATCGATGATTATTCAAGGTATGGTTATTTATACCTAATGCAGCATAAGTCTGAAGTCCTTGAAAAGTTCAAGGAGTACAAGACTGAAGTTGAAAATCAATTAGGTAAAACCATTAAAACACTTCGATCAGATCAGGGTGGAGAGTATATGAACTTGAGATTCCAGGACTATATGACAGAACATAGAATCACGTCCCAACTCTCAGCCCTTGGTACACCTCAACAAAACGGTGTATCAAAAAGGAGAAACAGAACCCTGTTGGACATGGTTCGATCAATGATGAGCTATGCTCAGTTGCCTAACTCGTTTTGGGGTTATGCAGTGGAGACTGCAGTTTATATTTTAAACGTAGTTCCATCAAAGAGTGTTTCTGAAACACCCTTTGAGCTATGGAAGGGTCGTAAACCTAGTTTACGACACATTCGCATTTGGGGATGCCCAGCACACGTGCTCATGACTAACCCGAAGAAACTGGAACCTCGTTCAAAAGCATGCCTATTCGTAGGTTACCCTAAAGAGACGAGAGGTGGTCTCTTTTTCGATCATAAAGAAAACAGAGTGTTTGTATCGACAAATCCTACTTTCTTAGAAGAAGGGCATGTTCGAGATCATAAACCACGGAGTAAGGTAGTAATTAACGAGATTTTCGAAGAGGCTACAAACACGTCAACAAGAGTTGTTGATCAAACTGGCACTACAACAAGAGTTGTTGATGAAGCCAGCACATCGCGTCAGTCTCATCCACCTCAAGTATTGAGGGTGCCTCGACGTAGTGGGAGGATTATGTCACAACCTGACCGCTATGTCTGTTTAACTGAAACTCAAGTTGTCATACCTGATGACGGTGTCGAGGATCCATTGACCTACAAAAAGGCAATGGAAGATACTGACAAGGACAAATGGGTCAAAGCAATGGACCTGGAAATGGAGTCGATGTACTTCAATTCCTTTTGGGAACTTGTAGATCAACCTGACGGGGTAAAACCCATAGAGTGCAAATGGATCTACAAGCGAAAACGAGACGTCGAAGGAAAAGTACAGACCTATAAGGCAAGACTTGTGGCAAAAGGCTACACACAAAGGGAAGGGGTGGACTATGAAGAAACCTTCTCCCCTATAGCTATGCTTAAGTCTATTAGAATACTTTTGTCCATTGCCACATATTATGACTGAGATATGGCAAATGGACGTCAAGACTGCTTTTCTGAATGGCAATCTTGAAGAAAGTATTTATATGTCTCAACCCGAAGGGTTCATAGAACAAGGTCAAGAGCAAAAAGTTTGCAAGCTTAAACGGTCCATATATGGACTCAAACAAGCATCTCGATCTTGGAACATAAGGTTCGATACTGCGATCAAATCTTATGGTTTTGACCAAAACGTTGATGAGCCTTGTGTATACAAGAAGATCATCAACAACACCGTAGCCTTCTTAGTGTTGTACGTGGATGATATCCTACTCATTGGGAATGATGTCGGATACCTCACTGACATAAAGAAGTGGCTAGCGACTGAGTTCCAAATGAAAGATTTGGGAGAAGCTCAGTATGTTCTTGGCATCCAAATTCTAAGGGATCGCAAGAACAGAACGTTAGCCCTGTCTCAAGCAACTTATATCGACAAGATGCTTGTTCGATATTCGATGCAGAATTCCAAGAAAGGTTTGTTACCCTTCAGGCATGGAATTCATCTGTCTAAGGAACAATGTCCTAAGACACCTGAAGAAGTTGAGGATATGACATGTATACCCTATGCTTCAGCACTAGGTAGCCTGATGTACGCTATGCTGTGCACTAGGCCTGACATTTGCTATGCGGTAGGGATAGTCAGTAGGTACCAATCCAACCCAGGATATGATCACTGGACTGCTGTTAAGGGAATCCTCAAGTATCTTAGGAGAACGAGGGACTACAAGCTCGTGTACGGCGCTAAGGATTTGATCCTTACAGGATACACTGACTCTGACTTCCAAACAGACAAGGATTCAAGGAAATCCACGTCGGGGTCTGTATTCACTCTTAACGGAGGAGCGGTAGTTTGGCAAAGCATCAAACAATGATGCATTGCAGACTCCACGATGGAGGCTGAGTATGTTGCAGCTCGTGAAGCAGCAAAAGAGGCGGTTTGGCTTAGAAAGTTCTTGACAGATTTAGACGTCGTTCCAAACATGAACTTGCCCATCACACTTTATTGTGATAACAGTGGTGCTGTGGCAAATTCTAAAAAACCTCGAAGCCATAAGAGAGGCAAACACATCGATAGGAAATACCACCTTATACGGGAGATATGCAGCGAGGAGATGTGATTGTCACGAAGATCACTGCAGAGCACAATATTGCTGATCCTCTTACAAAGGCACTCACGGCTAAAGTGTTTGAGGGCCATCTAGAAAGTCTAGGTTTACAAGCTTTGTACAGTTAGTCTAGGGCAAGTGGGAGAAATGTAATTGTGTATAGTGTATGCCCTAGTTTATTGTATTTTCCCTTTGCTTTATGATAATGTACACCCCACTCGAGTTTAGTTCAAGTGGGAGTTTGTTGGGTGTGTTACCCTAAACTCGTAGTTTATATTTTGTAAAAACAAATGTCTATTTAATAAAGTTTTATTCAATAAATTTGTTGTTGAATCATAGCTTTGTATTGTCCAAAATCCAATAAACTAAACATCCAAGGTTATTTTTGATGTAATCGGGACAGTATATATACTGGGTATATAGTCGATATACGGGGTATATATTTGATATACCCCTGATATATGAATGGATAATATCCCGTGAATAACCTAAAGGGTCTATAGTATATGGATAAGGCTAGGTACCTTATCCTGGCAACACTATCGATACGGCCCGCTCTGTAAAGGTTACAGACGACTCGATCCAGGTCGTTCGTGTGGAGACATGCGAGTGGGGGTATCCTGTACAATGAGTTTGTATAAGACCGGACCGCGAAATAGGCAATCTTTAGGTGTAACACCGTTAACTAATAGATTGCTATTTCTTAGGATGACCAGGCAACACATTCTCAATCTTGAGTGAGTTATGGACTCTTGCCCGTGACGCTCGTCCTTTGATCTGGATGGGTGAGAGTGACCCGAGTCGCCGACTCAACATTCCTACCATGTTAAGGACGAGACCGAGTGGGGAGTTGGGAACATAACTTCACAAGATGGAATTCACTCCTCCCGACTTTAGGGGAGTAGATGAGTGTTACCTTAAATGCTGACTCCGGGACTTGAACAAGGGGCCCCACCCGCTCATTGGCCGAGAGGGACTTCCAGTTATTGGTTGGACCATAACCGGGTTGTTCGTTAGAGGAGCAGTGGTGTTTAAGGAGTAAGATGTAACTCGGGGGTAAAACGGTAATTTGACCCAACTTGAGTCACGAACACTCGTGAAGGATTAACTCGTCATTAATGGTCATATATCCATGGACACGAAAACAGTCTGCAGTGAGAAGAGTGCAACTGCGGGTCTTTAGTGGAATGACCCGTAGTTAACGAATCTAGATTAACTCGGTCAATGAGTTTGACCGATTAATCTTGCATCGTTGGAGCTTCAGATCTGTATGTCCATTAGGTCCTCTTGCTAGCTCATAACGGGTAAAACGAGGATCAAGTTTTTGGAAGAATTTGAATTGTTCAAATTACTTAAGGGATTATATGTATATTGATACATTATAATATATTGTTAATTGTGAATTAAAACTATATATTATGAGAGATATTATTTGAATGAGATTCAAATAAAATTAATATGAATAAGATTCATATTAAAACTATAGGTTAAAAATAATGTGCATAAGATGTACATTAAAACTATAGCTTATACGAGAGTAATGTTTTAGAATATGATTCTAATTTTATAATAAATAATTAAGTGTTAATTATTTATGTATATATATATTTATTAATTATTAACTGGATTAATAATTAATTATATTAATTAATTAATTATATATATATTAATTATTATATATATATTTTAATTATTATTATATATTATAAATATATATATATATATATTAATATTATTATTATTATTAATATTATCTCCCCTGCATAATTGCAGGGGAGTGGGGGGGTTGCTGTGACGTGGGGAGTTACCCCACGTCATTGTTCTTCTTCTTCAATGGTTGAAGAAAACAGAATACAACAGTGAAAAAAAAAGCATCCCCAGATCTCTCTGAATAAGCTCAATCTCTCCCTCTCGTTCCAAAGGATTGCTCCCACCAGCACGATCCCGAGACCCAAGAGGATAGCGAGGAAGACATAGTGGTGGTGTTCGAGGGAAAGTCGTTGAAGAAACGTTCTTCAAAGGTAAAGTTTCCTCTGTATTTTCCTACTTTGTAATTCGATTTTGTATCCCGAAAATCAGCAACAAAAATCTGTTTCCGCTCCGGGAATCACATCCTTTCATAAGGAGGGGTAGTCCCTCAAATTCCTCCAGCAACCCCTCAAGAAGGGGTAGACCCTCCAGCTCCCCCTATAGGTCCTCGGAGAAGGATAGTTCCTCCAGGCCCCTCGACAGCCCCTCAAGTGAATGCTCAGGTGGCTTTACTGGGAAGAGCACTACAAGCATTAATTGACAATTCGATTGCAGCAGGTGCTGCTCAAGCCCTGCAACCTCGTCAAGCTCTGGCTCTTCAGAGTGAAGCTCAGTTCATCAGGGACTTTAGGCGTTATGGACCCCCTACTTTTAATGGAGAAAGTGAGAAAGCTACAGTAGTGGAGGAGTGGATCAGGGAGTTGGAAGCTTTATACACTTATCTAGGTTGCAGCGACCAACTTAAAGTCAAAGGTGCAGTATTTATGTTGAGAGGCGAAGCTCTAAATTGGTGGGATGTAGTAGCAACTGTAGAAGACCATACAAATGAACCCATCACTTGGACAACGTCCAAAGATCTGCTTTACGATTATTACTTTCCGAAGACGATAAAAGATGAAAAAGAGATAGAGTTCCTTCACCTCACTCAACGAACTTTGATGGTGGCTCAGTATGAGAAGAAGTTTACAGAATTCTCTCGTTTTGCTCTGGATCTAATCCCCACTGAGGCGAGGAAGATTAAAAGGTTTGTTAGAGGTCTATGGAAAGGGATTAAGGGACCAATTGATCTTCAGCGGCCAACCACTTATGCGGAAGCAATTAAGGGTGCCTTGGTTATGGATAAGGACGTCATCGAAAAAGCTCAACCACAGCAGAAAGTCGGCTTATCCTCAGGAGTAAAAAGGAAGGTTCCTCCGATATCCTCTAGCCAACCTTCAAAAACCAGCCCTCAGCAATAGACTTAAGGACAGGTTGTTTCCCCATAGTGTTTCTCTTGTTAAAAGCATCACTTTGGCCAATGTTGGACCAAGAAAAAAGCTTGTTTTAAGTGCGGAAAGGAAGGCCATTTTGCTAGAGAGTGCCCGATGACTGGTTCAAACACTCAAAAGACTCCACAGGCACCAGCGCATGGAATTATTCAGAAGGCACGCGTCTTTGCGCTAACTTATGAAGGAAAAGAGGATGTTAATGCTACAGCTACTCGTATCCTACTCTTGAGTGTTTGTATTATCCTTGCTGGAAAGTATTATTATTGAAGTTATGCTACTCGCATTCCTTGTTCTTTCTACTTTGATTGGTAAGTGAATATTAGGTTTGAACCGTTAGGTGGTTCGTGATAGGTCTTCACACCACAAGACTCAGTGATAGTTTTGGTTAATGGTGATAGTGGAAAGTTCTTTATTACTTTCACAACCCACCAAGAGTAAGGAGTAAAAGGTTGTTTTAAAAAAAATGATGTTGCAAGGGAGCAACTAAGGAGTACAAGAAGATATAGGTCAAGCACTAAGTTTCGTTTGACAAGACAACTTTTGAGGTGAAAGTTTTCAAAGGTGTGTAGTCTGTAACGCCCTGACGTTCAAAGTTGTGCGACTAGTCAACTTTCGAGGACGAAAGTTTTGTAAGGTGGGTAGTCTGTAACGCCCCGAGTTTTCAGGTTATATATTTTCTTTTTAAGTTTTAAATTGTGCCTTTAGATTTTCCCTATATTTGGATAATTTAAATTCTTGGATTTCCTAATTTTGGGTAAATTAGAATTTAAATTTATTTTCGTTAGTTAAGATAAATTAAGTTTTCAAATTTCGGAAAGAGATTTTTAATTAAATCTTAATCCTAAGTTTTGGAAATTTAATTCTCTCTTTTGGTTTCTATTATTGGGTTTTAATTTTAAGTTAATATCCAAATC